GCGATTTTGCCCGGGAAAACAGCACCCTGGGTGAGACTGCTTTATTCGTGTTGATCCAGCCAGGCATTCATCTTCTCTTTGCTGCTTAAATTGGATGCAGTTAAAAGACCTCGTCCCTGGACGCTCGGCGGACTTGGTGCAGTCTGCTGCACCGAAAGGCTGCGTTTGACGGAAAAATTAACAGAGTGCGAGAATGACCGACTACAATTGTGTGAGTTTGTTTGTTTTGAGACAGCCTCACTATGTCGCCCTCGGTGGAGTGCCGTGGCGTCAGAGTTTAAATAGAAGGCTAGATGTTCGTGAATGTTGGTATAATTTGAGGCGTTATCCACTCCCACCCACCCCCCGGCGAAAAGCACCTTCGCTGGCAACCACGAAGCTCTCACATTTGGGAATGCAAATGCACGTTTCGTTAAGTCAGAATTGCCTTCGAAGGTGTAAAGACACTGGGGGACAGTACGCGCTCATATTCCACTGCAAAGCTGTCCAGTGATGGTTGTGAACAAGAAAAACGTTACCTTTTAATTGTAAATTTATTTACATTGTGCCTCGTCCAAGAAAAAAAAGAACAAAGGCTATGGTGCTCTTATACTCACTGGGGACGAAAGCAATGGATTGTTCCCAGTTGTAGTAAAGGTAAATAAATAAATGAAAAAGGGGAACTTTACAAGGATGATGGTCTGCCTAAGCAGAGACAAAAGGATGTCTCCAAATTAGACCTTTTTTTTGTTTTTATTTTTCCTTTTGGGTTAACTACATTTAACATCAACTGTGACAGAACACCAAAAAAGAAAAAACAATTTGAATTTTATAATTACAGCTTCGTAATAGCTATTTTTATTATTCAATGTGTGTGTTTTTTTATACCAAAGGACTTTTAAAAGTTAAAGTGGCCAGGCTTTCTCTACCTTCAGGAGAACCTTAAAGTTAAATTAGTAAAAAACTATTAATAATACCATTTATTGGCTCAGCGCCTCTAGTCCCAGCTACTTGGGAGGCTGAGGCAACAGAATCGCTTAAGCCCAAGTGTTGGAGGTCGCTGTGAGCTGTGATACCATGGCACCCTATCCAAGGCGACAGCTTGAGGCTCTGTCTCAAAAAAAATAATAATAATATCCGGTTTGAAGAAGGTAAAACCCAAATAAGAAAGCTGCAGTGAGAGTCTATGATATAAAGTAAGATCGGCTCGGCGCCTGTGGCTCAAGTGGCTAAGGCACCAGCCACATACACCTAAGCTGGCAGGTTCGGAGCCCGCCAAGCAACAATGATGGCTGCAACCAAAAAATATCCAGGCGTTGTGGCAGGCGCCTGTGGTCCCAGCTACTTGGGAGGCGGAGGCAGGAGACTCGCTTGAGCCCAGGATTTGGAGGTTGCTATGAGCTTCGATGCCACAGCACTCTACCCAGGGGGACAGCTTGAGGCTCTGTCTCA